CCAGCTTAGGTAGATCGTTGAGTCGGGACTTGATGTAGTGCTCAGTTATTCCCGTCCCTGAAACGGAACACCCGTATCGCACCATGGCCAACCAGTTAATGCCCACGTTTCCTGCCCAAGCAGTCCCTGCCGTGGCAGTCACATGAAATAAGCAAAAAATATGAAGAGTAATCGAAGTTACAGAATAAGAAAGTGCATTATAGATAGGAAAATAATACCGAGGCGTGAAGGAAAGTGGAGAAAAGAAAATCGAAGTACGAAGGTTCAAAATACTCAGGAAAATGGAAAGCTTTCGCGCTGCCACCGAAGAGCATCAAGTTGCCGCTCAAACCCCTTAGCCGTAGATTCCCTGATAACACTTTCCGGAAGCATGTTCCAGCGGTCGATAACTCGGCGTGACAGCCGGCTTTCCGCCCTAATCCGATCGGACCGCGGTTTGTCCAGCATCAAGGAGTGACCGCGTAGAACAGACAATCTAGTGAGACTGAATAGCCGAGATAAATATGGACCAACCTTCCCAGTTAAGATACGGTATGTTAGGATTAGGTCTCCTCTAAGCCTTCGATAGTGCATTGAATGCATTCCCAAACTAAGTAGACGCTCGGGGTACGTCCGTCCCCGTAATCCCTCGACTAACCTAGTACCCACTCGTAAAGCCCTCGCTAGCTCCATTTTGTCCCAGACGAGGCAAGGCGAACAAGTCTGGACGAAGTATTCCAGAGGAGGCCGAACGGAAGCCGAGAACAGCCTCGTAAAGAAGCCGCCCGTTAAGACTCCGAAGGAACGTCGAATTAACCACAACACGCGGAAACCTTTGCTTGCGGCCTTCTTCCAGTTGTCGCCGGAGTGTAAAGCCGAAGAGCGTACGACACCTAGTTAAATCTAGCTAGATACACGGGGGAGTTCGACCCCACCGACCACGTACTTCGTAGGAGGGCAACCTCCTCCAATTCGAAGATGGTGCACTTTGCCTGATTTATGGGTAGTAACCATAAATGAGACCAGTCCCGAAGCTTATCCAGTGCTCGCTGAATGGCTTCAGAACACCCAGGAACATCGACAATGTTTCACAGCTTCAGGGCATCAGCAAAGAACAGCGATGTTACCTCAAACCCCGCGGGTAGGTCATTCACATAGATAGGGAACAGCAGCGGTCCAAGGACCGAGCCCCGCGGCACGCCACTGAGGACAGACTGCCTAACCGATAGGCTACGGCCTACCCGTACACAAGATTCTCTACCCCCTAGAAGGGGCTCAAACAATGAAGAGCACCGCCAGATACCCCGTAGGAGGTCAGCTTTTGCGCGAGCATCAAATAGAGTACTCGTCAAATGCCTTCGAATAATTGACGAAAAGTACTTCCAGTGTGTAGCCGTTATCCACTGCATCCGCCCAACTTTCGCGGGCCATCAGTAGATACGGCAGACACGAAAATCCCTTCCGGAATCCGTGTTGTACATTGCCAAGTAGCTTAAATCCACTCAGCTGACTCTCCGATGAATCTCGCACTAGTTTCGCGGTGAGGTTGACTACTATACTCGTGAAGCTAACTGGCCTATAATTTGCAGGCAGGCTGCTGTAACCGTTTTTGATAATGGGAGAGCTGACAGCTCCCTTCCATTCGGAAGGCGATGCACAGCTGTCGAGCGGTTTCTGAAACACCATAGCGAGCGGTCTACTTAGTTCCGCAGCCAACTCATGCAACAGTTTCGGGTGAATTAAATCGGGCACAGAGGCCCTAGAATGGTTCAGTCCTTGTAACAGCCTACTAAATTCCGTCTCCGCTACAATAAATTCCGATAGTCCTAAACCCTCTGGGATGCTGCAAAGCAGCTCAACGCCTGTCAAATAGGTTTCTATTCCACACATTGCTGCATATTGCCCACTAACTGCACAGGCCTTGTCGTAGTTCGTATGCGCATGAGTACCGTCATCAAGCCTCAATACTGGAATTGACATGTTCGACATGTTTGACATAAGCGAAGAATCTTTTTGGATTCTCTGAAGCTCCGTCCGCTAACCCTTGCCCGAAATTGAGCCGAGCATCTCTTAGGTGTTGCTTACACCTATTTCTAGCCTTACGGTACATGTCATAAACATTGGTGGACGAAGCATCTCGGTAAGCTCGCTAACATCTTGACCATCTACACCTCTTTGTGAGCAGACGCGTGCCAGTGGAATATGTCCTGTGCCGCTGTGCTTGTGCATCCTTTCTCCTTGTGACTAGGATTAAGGGAGCAGAGATGTCTGAGGTAGGACTTAAGTTTATCCCAGGCAACCTGGGCAGTATCGTCGTCTGAGATCTTACAATGGAAACCCGAAGCCTTGGCTCTCACTGATTGATATACTGTATGCCATATGTTCGGGTGAGACGCAACAGTAGTCTTGTAGCGGCTAGTCAGAGTACAACAGCCAAGCAATCAACCATGGTCACTAGAACCCAGTAAGTAATATCACCAACAAAACCGAGTGACTTAGCAAATACAAGGTCTAAGATAGACGGTACTTGAGCTTCCATGTACTTAGTGGGGAGGTCAATGAACTGGTGCAAATATACTTGGAGCGTATGCCCAAGCAGATTAGCGCCGAATGCGCCTGAAGCGGCGTCGCAAGGATGAGCTGCCAAGCAAACCTCTGGGAGGTTGATGACGCCTATTACCAAACACTTGTTTGCGGACTGGGAGCTAAGGCATTCAAGTACCGCTTTGGATACGCTCCCAGGACTTCTATACACTATTACAACTGTGACCTGAGGCGAGGGTGTGCTACTAACAGCCGACAGAGCTTCAACAGTTTTGTCTGCAGACTGAAATAAACAAGTTTTCAAAACGGCAAGTTTACAGCTCACATAAAGTGTGACGCCTCTCCCTTGCCGGCCAGCGAAGCGATCGCATCTAACTAGTGGGTAGCCAGATAGATGTACTTCACCATCCGTGATGTCCTGAGATAGCCACGTTTCAGGGAATGCGAGTATATCGGGATGAGACCCAGCTACAAGCAGAACTAACTCGTACACCTTATTCGTTAGGCTGCGCACATTACTAAGCACTATCTGAAGGTATTCGTTAGATCCAAACTTGTGTCGTATGCTAACAGCATTGGCCGTGGTAGGGCGGAAAAGGACCGCCGGCTGACTACCCAAAAACCGACTAACCGGCGACCTTGTTCACCGGCCGCTCGCCTGCTTTTGCGGTCCACTATGGCCTCCCTTAGCTTCAGCCTATCGGCCAGCGGAAGGTCCAGCTGAACACTAATATTAGTATCCTTCAGCTTAGAAGATAACCTCATGAGAGCGCTGCGTTCCTCCGGGGTACGGAGTACCACACGAAGTAGCCGCGGTCGAAGGTTTGGTACATTAACTGGGACGTTCCCCAGTCTAATCAGCTTCCTGACAGTAACTCCTGGGAAATCAGGCTGAAGAAGCTTCATTACGCACATTTTATACCATTGAAATTCATCCAACGTGCCGTCCGCAGGAAGAACAGCAGTAGATTCAGCCGCGTTACTGAATAAAACACTACTATCAGTGAAAGAATCACCCCGACGGGTGTATTAACCCCACAGGTCTTTGATTCGATACTTAGAGCAGGTGGCTTCACCACTGGTGATTGGATTGTCTTTAGCCCCTCCGATGATGCAGCAACGGCAGCGAATGTTTTTCGCTCCATTGTCGATGTCTTACTTTTTTCGGGTTATCGATTCCACCGAAAGGCTTCATGGCAGATTTGGTCTACTTTTTCTTCTTGATAACGGGAGCAAGACCCGGTGACGATTTTTCGCTTTGAACCGAGTCAAACAAACAAGCAGAATATGACTTCTCGTTGAGAACCGAGATATCCGGCAACTTCGGCCGACAAGTAGTGCGTGTTGGAACCTATGCCTTCCCACAATCGTCAGACCGACTGACAAGTAACGACACTAGGCTTGTTTCCGGTGCCAAGACCTATGAAACTTCTTGTTTAGTAGAGAGTTTACGCGGTTTCCTGGCTCACTTTCGCTTTATTCGAAGGGACCATTGAACCAGCAATTCGGCGTCGGTCAGGCTAGCTTTAGATGGGTCGTCCGAAGCTGCTTCATTATTATGGTGGGTAGCCATCCGGACGGGTGACATCATGTTTGGTGCCACAAGTTGGGCACCAGTGTAAGCGATCAAATCTGCGTTTTTGAGACCGGAAGTGTCGTAATGAGCACAGCAATCTTAAGGCGAAGATCTGGAAGCATCGAGAACGAGCGCACCACCTTTCGCAGCAGTGTATCAAGAGATTCGTCTCTCGTATGGAAGGCCGCGCGGCCTTGCCGGCGGCGGCAGCCATTGGCACAACTGAAAAGCAACATTTCGCTGGAGGCCAGCGCTGCGTACTGCTCGGTATTTAGGTCCGTACAAAGCTGGTGGTACCATCGGTTGCAGACATCGCATTGCACACCTCTGGAATTGTCAGTTACTGGTATATTGCAGCTTGGACTGCCACAAAGTGTGATAACCTCAGAATTCAAGCCACTAGGAACAACAGCCTCGGTGCATTGCGAGACCGACATAATGGAAAATAGAGTGGAATTATAGCAGGCATACAATGGTTAAACGACCTCAATAAAAAGGCAAAATTTGGATGCAAAACGGGATTAAAACGGGAAAAACCAGAAAATTGCCAGTAAGCGCCAAAGATGCTTTAACTAGAACCGCTTTAATCGAGCCAAGATAGCTTGGATTAGAGGGAATTTGACAATAGTCAAATTCCGTTACAAGTGTTTATACAAACACTCTTTTCCACAAAATGCAGCTCAAAAGCTCGATCAGTGTAGCACACAAAATATCGCGTTACCGCGTAGTAACGCTGCATATATATAATGTATTTATATATACTTATATACACTCAGTCAAATTGATCTTAAATAGCTTTTTTGTCAAACCAGCGATGGAACATAAAAGAACTGCGTTGCCAACTGACCTAATGACACATCACGTTTTTAATTTTTTAATATTAGATATTGGCCGTTCTGGGGTTGCAAAACTAACAGGTGCATCAAGCATTTGTTTTAACATTTCGGTTGTAATAGGTCGGAGGCTGTGTGGTTAATCCTTTTTGGCTGGATTTTTGGCTATATACGGCCGCCTTATTCCTGTCTTTCGGATGATGTATCTTTTGTGGTGTGCGCTTCTGTTGTCTGTGGTTTGTGGCACTACGGTGCACTTCTCGGAGCATTTTGACGACGGTGAGAGCTAATCTGTGATCTTTATTTTGTAGAAGCTTCTCTAGACAAATGGGTGCAGTCGACTCATCACCCGCAGGAAACTAGAGGCTCATGGTCTATATCCTCCAGCAAGTCATGGAAGAATATCTCGAATCTTGGGCTGAAAACCAACAATGATAGTAGATTGTATGCGATCTCTAGGAAGTTCGACAAATCCTTCTCCAATGAAGGAGGTACGTTAGTTGCTCAGTTTTCCGTCAAGTTTGAGCAGCAAATGTCTTGCGGGGGCTCATACCTAAAGCTGCTCAACTCCAAAGTTGATCCCAACCAATTTTATGGAGACAGTCCATACCTCTTCATGTTCGGTATAGTTTGCTTTTATCGTACATCTTTTAGGCCCTGATATGTGTGGATACTCCACGAAGAAGGTTCATGCGATTTTCAATTATAAGGGTCGAAATCATTTGATTAAAAAAGAAGTCCGTTGCAAAGACGACCTTCTGTCCCATCTTTACACGTTTATCTTGACCCCTGACAATAAGTACAGCATCTTGATTGACAATGAGAAGGTGGAAGAAGGAAGCTTAGAAGACGATTGGGACATGTTACCGCCTAGAAAAATAGATGTAACTCATCGTTTCCTATAACGCCCCTTTTAGGACCCGAATGCCAAAAAGCCAGAAGATTGGGTCGATACGGAGCAAATAGATGATCCGGAAGATAAAAAACCCGAAGACTGGGATCAACCAGAGCAGATACCTGACACCAGCGCCACTCAACCCGAAGATTGGGATACCGAACTTGATGGTGAATGGTCCCCGCCAATGATCGCGAATCCGGATTACAAAGGCGAATGGAAACCAAGAAAGATTGATAATCCTCTGTATAAGGGACCATGGATTGCTCCTCAAATTGACAACCCGTCATTCCAGCCAGACGATAAGCTGTACGTCATGGAAGATATATCTCAACTAGGTTTGGATTTGTGGCAAGTTTCTTCAGGATCGATATTTGACGACTTCCTGTTAACTAATGATCCAGAGTTCGCACGTTCCGAAGGTGAACGTCTTTGGCGGCCACGCTTCAATGTGGAGTCGGAGTATGAAAAACATAAGGAGTCAGAAGACTTAAAGGAAGCTGAAGATAAATCCGATGACACCGATGATGAAGACAAATTGGAGTCTACAGAAGATTTGGAGAAACCTGATTCATCTGGTGCAGATAAAGCTGATGAACATACCGCAGAACCGCCCGAAGATGCGAACAAAGTCGAGTCCGATACGCACGAAGAACTGTAATCATACGCCAAGTATTTGTTGGATCTTTTCTCTCCGTATTATGTACATTATTTAACACATTAAACAGTTACTTATGGTGCGGTGTATCAGTCCCTTTATGATTCTAGGTTCGGTTTGTTTTTGAAAACGGGATTTTCCCTCCAACCGTTTCCTTCCTTTGTAGTGGAATATTTATCCATTTTGCCAGTGAGAAGCCTAAGCATCGTGTTTTTTTGAAAACGTAAGTCTTGGTGGCAAAAAAGCCTGTCTAACGCATTAGGAACGACAAGCTATCCTTATGTTGCTTTACGGTAATGTGCTAATTAACTAAGTTGCCTGGCCATCTCAAGTGTTAGTTGGGAGTTCGTTAGCCCATGCGATTTCTTGTCTTAGTGATGCTCATTCATTTCCTTGTTCCGGGGAAGCGTTGTTTGCGCTTCTATTGTCATGCAACTGGGAGGCTCCATTTACCATGAGTTCTGCAAACGTCCAGTTGGTTTCCTGCTTTTTGAGCATGTGGGGAAGATTGAAGATCATAGTATGTCTATCGTAGCCCATCCATCACACGAAAAGAGGTCAGCGATCTTGGTATCTCAGTAAGACTGGTGGCGATGACCGTGCCTACTTTCCTGATCGTCGGTGACTTAAACCTTCCGCATTCAGAAAACAGGTTAGCTACCCTGGAGAATGAATTAGTGGATTGGATGCTCTAGAATGCGTTCGAGCAATACATAGATGTTCCGACCGGAAGTCCTATCGGGAGTACTTCAACCGTTAAGATTGTGGTGGCCAAACATGGTCACTTGATGAACCTGCGCGTGGAGGCACCCATTGGTAAGAGTGATCACTGCGTTTTGACATCTATGAACACATCGAGGCCTACAGAGAATCATCGAATGGGGAGGAATTTAAGTCGCATTTATTTTGCAACGCTGTGCGCTAAAGGTCTTTAAATCACTTGGATCCCTGATCAGGACTAAGCGACTTTGGAACCGTGGTGGTTTTTACTCAAAAGCGGGTTCATGCAATTACTGAACGAATTTGCTCTCCCTGCGCTCTAGGCGACATCTTGCCAAACCCCGATGGTGTATGAGATTGACGAAACGATGAAGAGGACTTAATAATGAGTGGGGAAAATACCAAGAAACTCGGGACTTCCGATGTTGGCTGCAGTACAGATGTCAAAACGTGGCTATTAAGTTACAACGGCAGACGAAGTACTCATATGAGCTTAGGTTGGCCAACTTTGCGAAATCAGAGAGAGGCGGTCGGCTTTCTAACTATGCAGAATGTTTTAGGACCTCTTGACTCACCTTGTTAAGCGCTTTACTAAACTAAGTCTAGGTCCCGTCAACAGGCTTCCCCTGGTTGATTATCCCTAACCACTCATGCCTCGTCACGAGCAGTGGGCGATGCATGAGTGGCCTCTCATGAACCGCGCTGCGCCTCCGTCAACTCCTTCGATTTCTCAGCTGCAACAGACCCTACTTCACAGTCCCGAGCGTCCTGGCCAAGATGAATGACAGACAAATTGGCTGGTAATTGTCCACTTTGCTGGGGTTACCGCCATTCGGAATCGGCATTACTACCAAGCATTTCCACTCCGTCGGCAGTGCACCATCGGACAGCGGTTTGTTAAACAGATCAGTGACGGAAGGTGAGATGGTGGCTGATAAGGACATGAGAATCAGCGAATAGTCCTTCATGACCGGCAGACCACGTGCGTCAAGACCGGCTAGTAGTTTGCTTACTTCATGCACATCGCAAGCTGTCGATTTCGGTTGGGGCGGCACAAATTGAATTCAGTAAAGTCACAGCCGTTCGCATATCCGACAGCAAACTGCGCCAACAGTGCGGACTCACGCTCAGTGCTCGAAGTTAAAGGATGTTGGGCGAGTCACTTTATCACAGCTACTTCGGCTGTAGGCCTCAGGTGTTGCTTCTCGCTGCGGCTGCAAGCTGCTCTTCAACCTTCCGACGCTTCTGTGTTTCTGCGTTGCCGCATAAAGGCCACTGTCTCTTGTACCCCATGTAGTCGTCAACAAAGCCAGACTGAAGGCATTTATTCCATCGCGTGCATCACCGTTTAGCCAACTAACCATATCGCATTTCGAACCAATGGGGCTTCACTGACCCACCTTTCCAATACTTGAGGGACACGAATCGAGCGCACAACGATTTTTCACTCCTTTTATAGTAGACCGACAGTCCTCAACTGATGAATTATATAGCAATGACCAGTCCATTTGAATACCCGCTGGAGTTGTGCCGTCGAATTCAATTCATTGGATCATTGGATGATAGAGAGCAGAAGGAAGATCCTTTGTCAGCTCCTTCACTTCCCGATCATTGCGGAGATGGCGTGGGTCATTGCGGCAGAAGGTTCCGCAGAGGACCACTGTAGCTGTCTTAGAGGCAGCAGAATCCCAGCGCGCTCAGGTGAGAATCTAACAGTTGTTTGAAACGTTCCTCTGTCTCAGCATCAACAACAGGATCCGGCAACCGGTTCCAATCATTCACCACGCGAGTTGATAAGGCCAAATTGAGCCGCACACGGAGATTCCTCGGTTTGAACAGTTTCATGCGGTGGCCTCGTGTCGAACTCTCAGTGTTGAGTTGAAAGAAGTCCTGTAACTCGCAACCCAGTTCTCCTCTGAGAATACGTCGAGTGAATATCAAATCTCCTCGGTGACGGCGGTAACCTAGAGAGAACAAGTTCAGTCGTTGAAGTCGGTGTGGATACGACAGGTCTCGCAACTCAGGGACGGATTTGGATCCACGCCGTTGAACCTTCTCTATCATATCACATTCGGATTTGGTGAGAGGGTAGGCAGCGGGTAGCCCGTATTCGAGAATCGGGCGTACATGCGAGCCAAAGAGGAGTCGGAAAAGTCCCGGGGTCAGGAGAGAAAACCCTCTACGTATAGAATGGAACATCCTGTAGGCCGCGGCGACCCTCTTCTGGGTGTCTTGAATAGATTTGAGGTCTGATGACACTATCACTCCAAGATCCCTCTCTTGGGTTGCGCTTCTGAGCAAGGAACCACCAATGTGGTAAGTTCCAAATGGGTTTGATGAGCCAACGGGGAGAACAGAGCATTTATCACGATTTACGGGCAACTGCCACTTAATCGACCAGTCATGGAGTAGATCGAGCGTAGTTTGTAATCTGTCCGCGTCTTCAAGGCTGGATACTTCCATCCATAGCTTTAGGTCGTCAGCGTAGATTAGGCAATCCGTCTGAAGAGTGGATGGTAAGTCGTTGATGAAGATATTGAAAAGTACGGGACCGAGGACAGAGCCCTGTGGGACCCCACTCGTCATGAGAACAGGAGCAGAAAATGTGTCATTCACCTTCACTTGCATAGAGCGGTCGTTTAGGAAGTCGGAGATCCAAGACAGGAGGTTCCCAGAAATACCGATTCCTTGGAGCTTAAACAGGAGCCGTTCATGCGGGACTTTGTCAAAAGCTTTGCTGAAGTCAACAAACACAACGTCCAAGCGTTTGCCGGAGTCTAGTGACCTTGCCCAGGTCTCCTTAGCAACGAGCAAGTTCGGGGTACAGGAGCGTGCTTTTCGGAACCCATGCTGGGCATAAGAAATGACATTCTGTCCCCCAAGATGAAGAGTAACAGCTTGTTTTAGGATCCGTTCCATAACTTTACACACTATTGACGTCAAACAGATTGGACGATAATTGGCCGGATCATGTCGACTTCCTCCTTTGTAAATGGGTTTGACGATACCCACTTTCCAAGCTGAAGGAAGACGGCCAGCTTCTAGTGAGCGACGAAAGACTTGACATATGGGTGAAGCTATGTACTCCGCCACAGTCCTGAGGAACAAAGGATGCAATCCATCAGGGCCGGGTGAGCTATACGGATCTAACTGAAGAAGAAGTTTCATCACAGAATCAGTGTTAATATCTACTTGGGCCAACGAAGATGGAAAGGTGGATACGGCTCTGTCACTAAATGGTGTTTCTTTCGCGTAAACAGAAGCGTATTGCTTAGTCAAGTGACTAGCTTTCTCAGCGTCCTCGTGAAGTAAAGCTTGATGATCACAGGAACACAAAGCAGGGATGCCATTACCAGCTCTAGTGCTCCTTTTCAAATAAGTGTATAGCGTTTTAGGCACGATTCTGGAGTGTTTTGCCAAGGATAGTTCGTATTGTTGGCGTTTCTGGCACTTCATCGCGACACAAAGATTTCTGACAGACTTCTAGTGAGAGAAGTTGAGTTCTAATTGAGATTGCCTAAAGCGGTCCCATAATTTGCGCCTGCTATTCATTCTTGATCTCCACTCTCGATCCATCTAAGGTGGACCGCTAGCGAAGGGCTTTTAATGGGAGGAAAGAACAACCTGATCAATGAACGACGTCATTTTGGAGAGTAAAAGATTCCACATGTCGTCGAGATGAATGTGTTCAGGGATACCCCAATCCGTAGCCCTTGCGGCCATTTTTAGTTGGAGTGGGTCGGCACCACAACGACGGTGACCACCGTGGCTATGGATCGTGAGACGGCGAGTCCAGTGAAATGAAACAACACAATGATCGCTTTTGACTATGGGTTGAAGAACGGTTAGGTGCGTCACGTACGAGTCTGCCGGGGAGAGCACGAGATCTTGGGTGTGCGGGGTCTGGTCTGGGAAGATACGAGTAGGCGTCAAGACCTGTTGAACCAGGCTGTAGTCGAGAGCGGTTTTAAGCCATGTGGCATCGAAGGAGTCAGATCGGCAATCACAAAGAAGTAGGTCCCAATCGATATTCAGTGCATTGAAATCTCCCAAAGATTAAACAGTCTTCGTGCCCACCATACATCCTTATCGAGCTCAACAAGCGAGCTACGCGACTCAATGGCGCTCTGTAGACGACACCGACCAAGGGAGATCTGCATTCATCATGAACGCGGCACCAGAGGTTTTCGAAATTGTCATCTTGGTCACTGCTATCTTCAACTAAATGTACTTTGAGATCTATCTTCCAGTAGAGAATTACTCCACCACCCCGTGACGGTCGGACCGGGAGTGGTGATATCCAGGGATAGGCACTTCCGAGTAAGTGAAATCTGAGAATAACCAGGTTTCGTTGAAGGCCATCAGGTCTGGACGAGTCTCCGCAGTAAGCAACTGAATTTCGTCTAGTTTATTCCTTAGACTGAGTACACTGGCAGATATCACGCGTAGTCCGTTTTTATGTTTTACTGTCTGGGGATGACA